AGGCCTTTCCAGATTAAACTACCCGGCCTTGAGACCTGAGATCAGCGATTGAGTGCTTTTTAATAAACACTTGTTAAATTCCCTTTAGCAGGGGCTATTGGTTTGTATGAATTTTTCATTAATTTATATTTGGTTAATTGTACTCTGTTTTTTAAATCGATTCTGATTTAATAGTTTTTTAAGGGGGGAGGGGGGAATGGTGTTGTTTTAGATTCTATCTATTGTATACTGTATTTTATTATGTTCACCACCCGGATTGGTTCGCCATAGGGCGGTATACAAATAAAAATTATTATTATTATTATTATTATTATTATTAGGATTAATTGAGACTGTCTCTGTCAAACTGGGACCATTGCAGGGTATGCTCTCTACTCCATCTCTTTCTGCTTCTCCTGCTTATTCTTCCTTCCTCTACCCCACCTCCTTTTCCATTTATTTTTCTCTCATCTCACCAATCTTCCCCATTTTCTTTTCAATCTCCTCCACCTTCCCAGATTTCAGCCATGTCCAAAACTAACCGAAGGACATCAAACATGTATGCACATGCATGCACACATACATACATCTTTATCATCATCATCATCATCATCATGAAAACATGCATCGGAGAAAGTAGGCTCAAGTCTACAAAAACTCACACTACCAGCTTCTTTCTTTCAGTTAGCCTCACTGGTGATGCAAGATCCCTTTGCATACTGATTTTCCAGACTAACAAACTATGTCTTTGAATTCTATCATCATCATCATCATCTCCTACTTTCTTCCTCTTCCTTCCTCCTTTTACTTCCAGCTCCTCTTCTATTTATCTCTCATCTCACTCATCTTCCTCATTTTCTTTTTAATCCTCTCCACTTTCCTAGGTTTCAGCTGTGTCCAAAACAGGACATCAGACATACACACAGACGCACACAACCATCACTTTCAGAAATACACCATTGGTTTCAGCAAAATTCCTTAACACAGTAGGCAGGAAACGGCCAGTTTATTTCGTATTTATTTTTTTATTTAACTGGGACACAAAAGGAAATGAGTAATCAGAAAAACCCAAAACAGGAACCAAGGCAGGAAAGTGTTGAAACAATATGGAAAGCTGATGTGCAAACAACATGAAATGTTCTCAGTGAAGTTAAGAGCCGTTTCACAGCCATTCCTGGTTTGTTTGGGAATCTGTAAAGTATCTTGTTTGCTTGCAGACATTTCATGGCTTGGAGATACCGGAAAATATGCATTGTCCCCCTTGGTCCTCTCTTGGCAAATTAATTTTGCCCTAAGTGTAGAAAATCCGCATGGCAATGAAATTAAATTGCTTCTCGCAGAAATCCAACCTATCCATGTAATATAATAGTGTGAGTGTCTGTGTGAGCGCTCAGTGCTCTTGGTTCCAAACTCAATCAATATATTAACAGCTGGCAAACTGGTTATAGCACAAGGGAACAGAAATGAAAATGGAGAAAAGTGAATCACACACACCCCACACACTTCTCATGCTCATCCCCCCCCCCTTTACCAAAGTGAGTCAGGCAGCAAAAATCCTCATTTATTTCCACTTCCTTTTTAGAGTGTGTATGGGTTATTCAGCAAAGAAAGCTGTGACCTTATGTTGTGAAGATAACAGGTAGACAAGAGAGGGGGAGAGTATTTTTGGTAGGAGACAGTTTATTGTCTTTGAACTATCCAAAGATAGCCAGGGGACAGAGGTGTGGATATCCTATAAACTGGAACAGGGCTTCCTTCGGTTAACCTCCTTAGGTCCAAGGACCCATTTCTGCCTTTGAGATGCTTGGGAGGTCACAGAGACTGTTAAAATGTCAACAAAACAGAAATAATCCTGTTGAAAAATGTGGGTTTTTCCAACTGTCCCAGTTTGATATAGTTCCAGTTAATCTTCTGTCCTCCTATTTTTCCAGCTGCTTTTAAAATGCCCTGTTTTTTCTCTTCCCCTCTTCCTTCCTCCCTTTGTGCTCAGCTTATTTCAGCATCTACAAAGTGAGTTCACATTTATTGTGAAGGAAGGAAGATGCATGAATTTCCCTCCAATACCATTTGAACTGAGAACAGCCACATCTTGACAAAATGCAGGCTTATGACTAACATTGTCATATTCCCCCCTATACACTTTTTAACATCTTTGCCTGATGAACAAGTCAGTGGAGCTTTGAAAGTTTGCAATAGGTATTTTGTGTATTCCAGTTGGCCCAAAAAAAGTATTGCTGTTTTGTGTATTTGGGAGGTTATTGTACTTTGCTACATGGTAAAAAGTTCTTAATCAGGGAGAATGCCAAAGCTAGGAGACACTGCAGAAGTTTGCTTTTGCCTCAGCCTCCTGGGAAGGGGAAGAGTCTTCTCTTCTTTTCTCTTTCTTCCTAGGTTAATGCAGGGCAAACTCCTTTTGCACTAAACATATCCAGGAGTATTGGAGATCTAATGCCACAACAAACTACCATCCCCAGAATTCCATAGCACTGAGCCATGGCAGTTAAAGTGCTGCCAAACAGGATTATTTCTACAGTGCAGATGCAGCCATAGTGAGGCAAAAACAACTGTGTTGGAAAATTTGCAGCCAAAGAAAAGGTCCCCAAAACTGAAACATCCAGGAGAAGCTAGGTTTTCAAAATTCCTGCTGAAACAATGACAGAGACTGAGCTTGGGCGTGCATAATTCAGAATCCACCTTCCCATTAAAGTGAATAAGAACTTGCTCTTCCTCAAGGCTTTTGTTTTAAGTGGGCCTGAGGGTGACACATGCCCAGGAATGCAAAGTGACATCATATTCTTTTTTACTGTTAGCATTGAGCAAACAATGGCCTCGGAAACCATCAGTCACATTCCTGTACCAAAGACCATCAAGATCCCTCTTAATTCTTTTCTTTCTCTGCACCAGATTGTTTGATCTCTAATCTCCTGGCTTTCCAAAGGGATAAAATGGATGATTCACTCTTTCTCTTCATTTCTCTCCCTTCTGAAACAACTCAGACCATAAGGCAATGATGATTAAAAAAACACAAAACCCACTTTTGCCAAGGAGTATTAAGTCCCATGGAGGTGTGAAAATTGGAAGGCACAGCAATAATGTAAGATATGCAGATGACACCATACTTTTGTTGTTTGGTGACCCTAAAGCAACCCTGTAATGGAGGCTCCTTGGCAAGATTTGCTCAGAGGAGGTTTGCCATGACTTTCCCCTGAGGATGAGAGTGTGACTTGCTCACAGTCACCCAGTGGGATTCCATGACTGAGCAGGATTCAAACTCTGGTCTCCAGAATCATAGTCCAAAACACAAACCACTATGCCATACTGGCCCCCTATAATATTAAATATTATAATATATAATCACACCATGCTAGCTAAAATGCATATTTTTGTTATCATTGTTGTGTGCCTTCAAGTTGTTTCTGACTTATGGCAACCCTAAAGCAACCCTATCCTTGGGTTTTCTTGGTAAGATTTGATCAGAGGATGCTTGCCATTGCCTTTCCCTGAGGCTGAGAGAGCATGACTTGCCCAAGCTCACCCAATGGCTGAGCGAGGATTAAAACCCTGGTCTTCAGAGTCGTAGTCAAAGGGTCAAACCACTACACCATGGTGGGTGTTCAAATGCATGTTTACTCGGAAACATTCAGAGGTGGCTGTGTTGGCCATTTAGCAAATTCAAACAAAAATCCATCAGGTGTCCAGTGACTCTGCCGATGAAGTTATACTGGATCAGCTCCAATCTGTGAGTACCGAGGACGTGGACAAGTTGCTTGGTAAGGTGAGGAAAACAACCTGCCCTCTCGACCCTTGCCCATCATGGCTGGCTGTCCGGGGGGGGGGGATGCATTGAGGAGATTCCTCACAGATATCATCAATGCATCCTTCAGGGAAGGACATGTTACATCTTGCTTAAAGGAAGCAGCTGTTAGGTTGCTTCTGAAAAAACCTTCCCTGGACCCCTTGGATATGAGTAACTACAGCCTGTTTCTCTGTTGCCATTTTTG